CTGAGTCAGGGTGGGGTCTCCGACAGCCCTGCATTGTACAGCCTGGGGGCACCCAGGAGCCTGGCCCTCTGCGGATGTTTGCTACAGCTGCCTCCCGTCATCTGGACGAATGAAGGTGACCCTTAAGGCTGATGCTTGGTATCTGATCTTGGCGGCCAAGCAAGGCCTCTGCTGCCACCTGGTGGTGGGTCTTAGAAAGGGAAGGAGATCTGGGGGCTGGACACTCCCAGCCAGCTGATTCCTTCTGCTAACTAAGGACAGGAATCTAATACTCAGAGGGGTTGCTACACCTGCCCGCGATCACCAGCAGAACAGGACCAGCACCTGGCTTCCTCAGTGCCTCCCGACTTACAGGTTACATGTGACCTTGTGATAATTACCCACCCAGGGTTCTGAGTCCTGGCTTTGAGGTCAGACGGACAAGTGTTGACTCTGGCCCAGGCCCTCACCAGCCAGGGACACCAGACAAGGGACTTGAGTTCTAAGCCCGGAGCCCAGTTACAGGCTGCTGTGCAGGTAGCACGAGGATTGCCAGTTACTGGTGTGGGGAGCAGAATGTCTGGCACAGTAGGGGCTCCATCAATGCCTTTTCTGCTGCTGCTGATGACAATGATGATGACACTACTGCTCAAGGTGAAAATGAGATTCCAGGAGGGGTGTGGATGATTCTTGCTCCAGAACCACCTCACGACATTCCAGTGTCATGTGTGGTGGGACCGGGGAGTGCTGACCCAGAGACCTGGAGGCCGAGACCCTGACACTGGAGAGGCGGCTTCCCCTGAGATTTCTCTCCCCCTGAGCTCCCCCCACCTGAGGAGGCAGCTACTGTTATTCCTGCATCTCCCGCCTGGTCTCAGGAACCACCTGCAGAGATTGTCAACAGCACCAATGCCTGGACTCCACCGCTCTGGACTCTGATTCCATGCGTCTGCTGCAGGGCTAGGAATCTGGATTTGCAAAGCACTGTAGGAAGTTCTCCCAGGCTGGCAGGAAAACCGGCTAATCCCACCTTCATGTGATGGCCATGTGTACTAGAGTGGACAGGGCTAGGCTCTGGCTGCCCAGGGCTGTCTGGGGAGTGCCCTCTGACCTGAATCCCTACCAGGGAGTGGGGGAGTCAGGTCAGTAAATTGGGTGCAGTCAGACCCCAGGGCCTTGGCAGCTGGGCCAAGCCATGGGAAGCAAAGGGCGATGCCGTCAGAGCTTCAGGCCTTGTCTGTCAGAGGGCAGGGCGAGGGGAGGGCCGCCCAGCAGAGCCTGCGGGGAGCCGTGCAGCTGTCCAGCTGAGGGGTTCCAGGCCTGGCATCAGGTAGGCAGAGGTGAGCTTGGAGAGAAGGAGAGGGAGCAGATGTCCTCTTGGTTTCAGGAGTTCTTCCAACAGCAGCCCGTGGGACTGATGTCAGGCAGATGTGCCACAGCCAGGGAACCTCTGATGTCCGGTTAGCCCCAGGAAGGCGCTGGGTAGCTGTGGCCAGAGCCGCACCCTTGCATTAGAGCTGCATCCACATGCCTCCTGCTGGGCAGCATCAGGCAGCCTGACCATGACTCTGAAGGGGTCAGGGTCACCCTGCCCCAGCATGGGCAGCTCCTAAGCCTGGGCCCATTGAGATGAGTCCAGGGGCTGTCTGGGGCCTTGAATGAGTCCCAGTGGAGCCTCCGTGTCTCCTCTGGATAAGGGGTGAGGATGCTGAGCCCCAAGGCTGCTGTAAGATGATCGCCAGCTCAGTGTCTGAGGGGAGGTCGTGTGTGGGGGAGTTGGCCTCAGAGTAGCTGTGGTGACAGCGAAGTCACCTGAGTGGCTCATGCGGGGAGAGCCATTCAGAACAGACCCCAGGGTGGGGAGACACCTGTGACCAGTTTAAGCTGGCTGTCCTTGGCCCAGGAGGGGCCAGGCTCTGGCCCTGTGTGAACAGTCTCTCAGTCTCTCAGGCAGGTCTGTCCATCTCAGAAGGTGCAAATAGCCCAGGCCACAGCCTTCAGAGCTCCTAAGCATGAGAAACACCCAGCAGAGGTGGGTGGAGAGCTGGGAAAGGGTTGGATCAGGAGGCCCGAGGAGGAGAGAAGGGAGTGGTCACAATGCAGAGTGCGGGAGGCCAGACGAGAAGGGACCCTGGCCTTCAGAGCTCCTAAGCATGAGAAACACCCAGCAGAGGTGGGTGGAGAGCTGGGAAAGGGTTGGATCAGGAGGCCTGAGGAGGAGAGAAGGGAGTGGTCACAATGCAGAGTGCGGGAGGCCAGACGAGAAGGGACCCTGCGTCCTTCCTGAGCCTGTGCTGCCGGAAGAGCCAGCTGACAGAGCAGGGAAATCAGGAAAGCCTGCCTGGGCCTGCCCCCATGCTCCATGCAAATTCCCAAGGAGCATGAGCCAGGTCTCGGGGAGCCTCCCAGTGGCCTCTCACCCCTCGCCGGATTCTTCGGGCTTGCGTTAGTCTGCTCAGACTGCTGTGACAAATACTACACGTGGGCGGCTAAACAACAGGCATTCATTTCTCACAGTTCTAGAAGCTGGACCTCCAAGGTCAGGGTGGGGCAGGGCTGGTTCCTCCTGAGGCCTCCCTCCTGAGCTCGTAGACAGCATCTTCTCCATGTCTTCACATGGTCATCCTTCTGTGTGGGTCTGTGTCCTGATCTCCTCTTCTTATAAGGACACCAGTCAGATTGGATTAGGGCCTGCCCGAAAGACTTCATTTAACTTCTTTAAAGGTCCTATCCTCCAAACCAGTCACATTCTGAGGTCCTGGGAGTTGGGACTTCAACATATAATTTGGTGGCCTAGATACAATTGAGCCCATAACGAGGCGAATGCCAGGCCACGGTCATCTAACGACAGCTCAGTCCTCTGGGGCAGCTGACTGGACAGGACCCCAATCTGCCAGCCTTAGTGGGAGCCAGTCTCCTTGCACGGACCTGCCAGGTGGTGCACGGGTCAAGGCGGCTACCCAGCTGGTCTGAGTTGGACCCAGAAGGAACAGGGACCCCCCGAGACAGATTTTCCAAAATATCTGGCCCCAGCCCCTAAGTGTAGTGGCCACTTTTGCCACCTGCTGCAGGGCACTCCTCCTCTTTACAGATGTGGATTAAACGCAGAACAGCTGGGGTCCCTGTGGGGAGGGTGTGGTGGTGGGAGTCTAGGGAATCTCTCCTGGGGGTTAGAACTATTCTTCACCTGAGGCCCAGACCAGAGTAATGAAGAGAGACCCAAGTTTTATGGTATCTGTGTGGTGTGTGCAGTGTGTGTGATGTGTGTGTCGTGTGTGGTGTGTGTGCATATGTGTGCGTGAGGTGTGCCTGTGTGTGTGTAGTGTGT